ACAACAATTTGTTGAAAAAACTGTTTCTTCCCCATTTAAGGCATTTTGGCTCTTGACCAAAGATCAGTGAAGTTAGGTAGATGGATTTGTGTCTGGGTTCTCAATTCTCCATTGATCTATGTGTCTTTGTTGTATAGTAGGTTTTGAGTCCAGGAAGTGAGAGGCCTCCTACTTGTTTGTTTTTTTTTAATAATGCTTTGCATATCCAGGAATTCTTCCTTTCCATATAAAATTAGTGATGAGTTTTCCCATCTCTTCAAAGAATGATGTTGGAAATGGATTGGGATTGCATTATATCTGTAGATTGCATTAAGTATTGTTGACATTTCCACAATGTTAAGACTTCTTATCCATAAGCAGGGTCTATTCCTCCATCTCCAGGTCTTTTTTGGTTTCCTGTTTTATAATTTTTCTTTGTATAGATCTTTTGTTTCTCCGATTAGATTTATTCCCCAATACTTCTTCTTTTGGGTGACTATTGTAAATGATATTGCTTTCCTGATTTCCTTTTCAGAGCTGTGTTTATTAGTATATAATATTCGATTGATTTTTGTGTATTGATCTTGTATCCTGCCACTTTGCTGAATCTTTCAATGAGTTCTAATAAAATTCTTACTGTGTCTTTGGAATTTTCTATTATAAGATCATATCTGCAAATAGAGAAAGTTTGACTGCTTCTTTGCCAATTTTGAGCCCTTAGTTTTCCTCTCTTGCACTATAGCTAAGGCTATTTGGCATTGATTTTTATGCATTCCATTTCATTTGTGACATTTTCAGATTTTCTTAGCTTCATACTTTGTTCATTTCATGTTCTAATTATGAGTGGATGTTTGCAACTGTTCTTATTTTGAGTTATGGTCATTTTGAGTAACTGCTGTAGAGAATTCTTATTCTCATCATTTTTGTTTTTAGTGAAAGATGAAGAGTCATCCTGTAATTAATACTCATGGGTGCATGTATATAAAATGTTCATGAGTTGGTTTAATAAAGTTTCAGGTTATGAAATTGCCTTATTTTAAAAAATAGTATTACATTCTCCATAATTCTCTTTTTATGTGGAGTTAGAAAGATGTGAGACTAAATTGGCACTTGTTTACTTAATTATAAATGTCTTATAATTATATTTTTGTCCTTTGAACCTGTAATTGTATTTTCTATTTGTTATAGACAAATGCTTCTAAAGAATTAAAAATTAAAATGCTCAATTAAATACTTTTAGCATTATTTATAAAACTTTAAATGTTAATCTACATTAATTAATCAACAATCAGTATTATAGTAAGTTTGGGAGCCTCAGTGATATAGGAGTTAAAGTACCCAGGTGGTAATCAAAAAGTTGGTGGTTTGAACCTACCTGCTGCTCTTGGGAGAAAGATGTGGCATTTTGTTTCTGTATAAAGATTTACTGCTTTGAAAACACTATTGGGCAATTCTTCTCTGTCCTATGTTGTTATTGTTATCACGACTTGTAGTGGCACTCTATGGGGTTTCAAAGAAGTGCCTGATGTATTTGAACTGCCGAACTGTGGCTAGTAGTTCAATGCTTATCCATCAGTGCCAAGCTAAGACTCTAGAAGGGGGGATTTATTGTTTATCTTAGATGGATCTTGGCTAAAAGTAGAGAATACCTTGCAGTTAGCAGTCCAGTGCTTATCCTACATTGCCACAGCAGGACTCCATTCTGCCTTATTGTTGTTGTTGTTAGGTGCCATCCAGTCAGTTCCAACACATAGAGACTGCACAGCAGAATGACACTTCCTGGTCTTGCGCCATAGGGCTGCTGAACGTTGGAATGGACTTCACGACACTGGTTATTGTAATAAACCTGATTGTTTGAGGAGGTTATCTAGTTCTTCTTCTTCTTTTATTTATTTATTTTTTGTCTATGCAAAGCAACTATTTGCATAGATATTAAAAGCGCTAATATTCCTAGCTAGTCTTCTCTGGTTTAGTTAGTAGAGTGGTAGATATTAAGGGTCATTTGTGTGAGGTTTTTGGCTAGGGTTGGTTTCATAATAAAAAAGAAGATAAGCAAAAATTTAGAAGAGTTGCCAGGTAGCTTTTCTCACTCCAGGAATCATCATCATTGTTGTTAAGTGCCATCAAGTCAATTCTGACCCATAGTGACCCTGTATAGGATTTCCAAGGAGCGGCTGGTGAGCTTGAACTACCGACCTTGCAGTTCAAATGACTTTGCAGTCTGACGCCTTAGCCCACAGCGCCACACCAGGACTCTAGGAATAGCTAGCTCTCTTTATATATATGTTATGTGTGTATACACGTATATTTAAAAAGTCCAGAGATGAAATGGAATCTGTGTTTCAGCGTCTGCCTCTGGAGTATACAAATCCATGCCATTCAGAATGTTTATTGAGTTCCTACTACGTATCAGACCTTGGTCTACAAGCTGAGGATATCGCAACGGATTTTTTTCAACCCCCTGGTCATATGGTGTTTGGAAAACAATGAATGTTGGCCTCCTGATTTTGAATCACCCCACTCATGCTTTTCTCAAAGTTATAAACCTAACAGTGAGAAGAAATAAAACCATCCATTAACCAAAACTTCACCAGCACTAGTGAGCAACAGTAAGCTGTTGTGGCAGAGAGTGGAGTATGGAAAGCTTAGGAAAAATGAATGTATGGTTTCAAAAAGAGCTGCAGAGCACAGAGACTATATAGACAAAGCATAAGCAAAGTCATTCCAGAAAGAAAAAACCAGGATTCAATGTGGGTCACTGCACCAGCTCAAAGAAAGGGAGTTGAATGTAATGGGATCAGAACCGACATCCATAGGAAAGCATTATTTCAGGGGCAGATGCAGATGCAGGTTAATGCTCTGGGCTGTAAGGTCAGTTTTCAGTTTGAATCGCAAGGTGGGCGGTTCAAACCTACCAGCCACTCCTTGGAAACTGTATACAGGGTTGCTATGATAGGAATCGACTCAATGGCACTAACAAAAGAAGGAAGTAAGAGGGGAAAAATAAGTGTCCTGTAAGATGAAGACTAAACCATCATAAAAACTGCATAGAGTGGGACAGAACTAATGGAAGACAAGAGAGTGCATTGTGACTAAGAACCCCACCATTAAATAAATAGGAGCAGAATAAAATAGGCCACATCTGTACAAAACTGGTACAAAAAATCTGAAAATATAATCAGTGCATTTTAACAGATAAAAACCCACTTTAAATAAACTCTGTAAACTTAGGCAAAGCTGTGACACAACATTGTAAACTGAATTGAATATTCTCATTTAGTTTTTTTTGGTGTATGAAATGAAAACCACTTTGAATTGTAAATGTAAAATGTAAGAATAAGAATGATCCTAAAAATGAAAAAAAAAAAAAAATGATTGGGGGTATGAAAAAAAATCAAATCAGAAATGAAGACGAAATTATAAGGTGTCCTAACATACCAGTATTTACAGTAAGTGTAATGGTCTAAACAAAGCAATTAAAAGAGATTGGAAGAATGGATTAAAAACAAGACACATGGGTCAACTATATGCTATCTACAAGAAACTTGCTTCAAATGTATTGAGAGAGGTGTGTTAAAGGAAAAAGGATAAAATCAGATATGTCATGCAAACACCAATCAAAAGAAATAGCAGTGAATATATTAATAGCAGATAAAGCAAAGTTGAGAATAAGCAAATTACCAGGGACAAGTCTGATGTACATCGATAAACAGGTCAATTAATAAAGATTACACAGCAGCCCTCAGTGCTTATACAGCAAATGATGGAGCTTCAGAATACATGAAGCAACAACTGACAGTACTAAAAGGAAAACTCAAGAAATTCACAATTAAAGTTGGGGACATCAACACCTCTCTCAGTAATGGAACATTTTCTCTCGGAAAATTCTCAAGAATATAGAAAAAGCACTCAGTGAGATCATCAATCAACAGAATCTACCTGACATTTATGAAACTCTCCACCCAACAGCAGCAGAATACACAGAATTCATTTGAAGGATCCATGAACATATACCAAGATAGACTACATCCTAGGTTATAGAGCAAGCTATAACAAATTAACAAGAATTGAAATTATGTCAAATATTCTGACCATAATGGAGTCTCATTAGAGATTAGTAACAAATGACAGGTAAAATAATTGGGGAGAATTTCATCTAAATGAGAATCTTGTTTCCCTGCCCTTTCTGATTTGTTACTAGCTTTTGGAACATGGGAGAATAGATACCTTTTATCTGACAATGTGCCAAAATGATAATAAGCATTCTAGTTAATCGTTGCTTGTGATAAATTGTCTCAATCTCCACTTTATTTTACAGCTTCTCTGTTAAAAGGACTAAAACATGCTAACATTGTGCTGCTTCATGACATCATCCATACCAAGGAGACGCTGACACTTGTGTTTGAATATGTGGTAAGTAAAATAAAAATTCAGTCTATTGGTATCTGAGTGGAATTCTTGCAATATTGCTGTTGGTGTTGTTAGGTGCCATTGAGTGGATTTTCAACTCATAGCAACCTATGCTCCATAGGGTTTTCTAGGCTGTGTTCTTTCTGAGAGCTCTGGTAGTTCCCATAAAGTAGATTATGCGTTGGGCAGCTAACCAAAAGATCATCAGTTCAAGTACACCCTGTGCTCTCCAGGAGAAAGATAAGGCTTTCTTCTCCTGTAAAGATTAACAGCTTCGGAAACCCTATATCTATCTTGTCACTATCAGTCAGAAACAGCTTGGCTGCATGTAGCAGCAATCTTTATGAGAACAGACAGCCAGCTTCTTCTCTCTGTGGAGCCCTAGGTGGGTTCGAACTGCCAAACTTTTGATGCTACCAGGGCTCCTTAAAGGTGCTTCTGAGAAACTAATTTATAAGTCAAAAAACCAAAACACAACAGTATTGTTGAGTAAATTGCCTTTGTGGTCACTAATAATGAGTTCCACTTTTTAGGTTGCTGTGCCGCTTTAGGATACGTACTGGACTGCTAACCATAATGTTGGCAGTTCAAACCCCCACCAGTCACTTCATGGAAACACTATACAGTGTCGCTGTGACTTGGGGTCAACTCAACAGCACTTAGCAACAATAACAGCATGCTCCGGTGGTGGTGTAGAGTAAGCACTAGACTCTTAACTGCTAGGTCAGCCGTTGAAACTCACCAGTCTCTCCACAGGAGAAAGATGAGGCTTTCTGCTCTTGTAAAGACTTACAGCCTTTGAAACCGTATGCAAAGCCACTATGAGTTTGAATTGACTCAATGGCAGTGCGTTTGGTGTTTTGTTTATTCTGAAGTAACTATTTCACTTAACACTTTAGAATTGCAGTTCTGCGTAGAATAGGAGTCCAGTAAAAGATACTTGGATGATATATATCTTTTAAAAATATCCAGAAAAGTGCAAAGTTGAATTTTCATCATATGTATTAACTACTTTTAACCTGTTTGTTGCTCTGTCATTTTTAAGTTTATTAAACAACATGCTGATGATCACTCTATCAGAGGAAGTTCACACAACAATAAAGATGTCTTCTTTGGATGTGTTGCTTGGAGTCTCAGAAGCATCTTTATCAAGATGTACTTAGTGGCAGAAAGCCTGCTGCTTAAAATTTAGACTTCATGGTTTCCCCCTCAGTTGGTGTTTCAGCTATTAATTAAAACTTCCAATTTGCATATCACACAATATAGTGATCTTATTGTGTTGAGACTATTACTGCTAGAAGACTAGGACTTGAACTCATAATTAATCTTTCTCCGTTTCCCTTAGAAAAACATATGGTATTTGTGTAGCACCACTTCAGCATTTAACTGTGGATCATGAAATGTAACCATGATAATTAACATCCCAGTTTTCGCAGATGGATCTGAGAACATGTAATTTATAAGATACAGATGACACTGGTAGAGACTTTTGCTGAGAAGAATCGCTGTTGCTATTGTGACTGTATTAAGATCCTATTTTGTAATTACCACACTGTTTTTTTCTGAAAACTGGAAGAGTTTTCTATTTTCCTTCGAAATATGTAATAGAAAGAATATTTGCAACATTTTTATCTTGCTAATATCTGCCTGTGTCTATTTGCTATCAAAATTGTTGTCTTATAGAGATGGCATTTATCTTGTCTATTTACATATAAATGATAGATATATTTAAATGATATGGTAATTTGGCTACGAGGACAGCTAGAGCTTAGCAGTTGCATATATTACATGTTACCAAGAATGGATGCAGATTCAGACATCAATGTAGATATAATTTCTTTTGTTTAATTGATGATTTTGGAGTCAATAATGTGCTTAGCTGACTTAGAATTTGAATTTTTGATTCATGTTTTCTCGTAATATCTAGTTTACGTATTTCAGATATCTAGCCTTTTCTTACTGTACTCGACTAGCTTCTATAATGTTTTGTAGAAAAGAGATTTTTAAAACATACTTGCTCCCACCCTCCAAAATAGATAGTTAAAAAGAAGAAAAAATGTTTGGAACATAAAATCAAGGACAGTGATAGAGAAACTAGCAAAAATAATGTAAAAATATGCCCTCAGCAGTTTGAAAGAATAATAAGTCAGTTATTTAGCTACACATATGTATATTGGATCAACTACCATTTGATCATTTTATATTTTATGAAACTTACCAAATAAAAGGAAATAAATTCATTGTCCTTTAATAGTAACTAAATCATTAAGACTGACTTTTAACCATAATCATTCTTTTTTAATGAAAATTACTGTGGTCTCAATTCAATCATACCATGGCTGAACAAATACCATATTCTACTGGCAGCATTTCCCCCTACCATTTCTGAGGGAATTAAGGTTATACCATATATGCTATCGCTTACACTGTTCTCTCTTAACAGAATGAACAAACTGTTGTCATTTATAGTTTATGATTGCTCTGCTTCTTCTGTTCTTCACTCTGTCTGTATTCTTTACCTCCCCATATTTCTCTGGAAACCTGGTGTGGCATTGCAGAATAAGTAATGAACTGCTAACCACAGGAAGGTGGTTCAAACCTACCAGCTGCTCCTTGGAAACATTGTGGGGACTGACTGAAGGACACTTAACAACAACAATGCATTTCTTTTACTTCTATCCTTTTTTTTTTCTATCTCTTTCTTTTTATTTCATCTCTTATCATTTTGCTACCTTTGCTGAAGACCTTTCCTGCTGCTACACCTGAGATATATTTGTTACTTTGAAGTAAACACTTTATAATCAATACAAGCAATTTGATTTTGGTAAAAGAAGAAATTTGGGGTATAGTAATATTTTATGAGCGTCTCCCCAGTTAGGAAGTGGAAAGAGTAAAGTCCTTGATGGGATTAGCTTGCCTGTGTGGCATCTGCCCAGTACAATAATAGCTTCCTTGGATAGTGCCTACATTTCGAGTTTTCTTTCATTTTATTTATAATTTATAAATATGCAAATATCTCAGGGAGAATTAGGCTCTTAATATACTTTTATGAAGTTTGCTTTCCTCCCAGTATCTTACTGAAATGAACTCTGCTCTTTTCTTGCAAGTTACATAGCAGTGGGCTAGGAATGAAATACCTTAGGAATTAGAGTTTAAGTGAGGGACAAAGTATGGGAACACTGAATGTTCTAAAATTGGGAAAGGTGTGCGACAAGGTTGTGTTCTTTCACCATACTTACTTATTCAACCTGTATGCTGAGCAAATAATATGAGAAGCTGGGTTCTATGAAGAAAAACGTGGCGTCAGGATTGGAGGAAGACTTATTAACAACCTGTGATATGCAGATGATACAACCTTGCTTGCTGAAAGTGAAGAGGACTTGAAACATTTACTGATGAAGATCAAAGAGCACAGCCTTCGGTATGGGTTGCATCTCAGTGTCAAGAAAAAAAAAATCCTCACCACTGGACCAATAAACAACATTCTTAGCAACGGTGAAAAGGTTGAAGTTGTCAAGGACTTCATTCTTCTTGGATCAACTATCAACACTCGCGGAAGCAGCAGTCAAGAGATCAGACGATGTATTGCATTGGGCAAATCTGCTGCACAGGAACTTTTTAAAGTGTTGAAGAGCAGAGATGTCAGCTTGAGGACTAAGGTGCGCCTGACTCAAGCCATGGTATTTTCAATAACCTCATATGGATGCGAAAGCTGGACAGTGAATAAGGAAGATTGTAGAAGAATTGATGTCTTTGAGTTATGGTGTTGGAGGAGAATACTAAAAGTGCCATGGACTGCCGAGATAACCAGTAGATCTGTTTTGGAAGAAGAGCAGCCAGAGTGCTCCTTGGAGGCCAGGATGGCTAAGCTTCATCTCTCATACTTTGGACATATTGTCAGGAGGGAACAGTCGCTGGAGAAGGATGTCATGCTGGGTAAGATGGAGGTTCAGAGGAAAAGAGGAAGACCCCCAATGAGATGGATCGGCCAAGTGGCATCATTGATGGTGTCAAGTGTGACAGCGGTAGTGAGGTTGGCCCAGGATCGGACATTGGTTCGTTCTGCTGTGCATGGGGTCTCTCTAAGTCGGTTCCGACTCGATGGCACCTGACAACAACAAGAAGTGAGGGACATAGGGTGCCATGAGGCAAGGAGCAACTGTTGGACTCAAACCTTCAACCTTGTGATTAGCAGTCCAGTGCTTATCCTACGGAGTCACAGTGTTGCCCATAAGTCACAGTATTACCCCATAATTTCTGTTGTGGTCTATTCAAACACTCACACTCACACACACACACACACACACACACACACACACACACACACACTCTCTCTCTCTCTCTCTCTCCCTCCATACCCCACATAAATACAGAATTTTGTTATGTTGTAAGTCCTAAAATCTATAGTATGGTCACTCTGTAGTATAAACACTGGGCTGCTAACCATAAGTTCAGTGTTTTGAGCCCACTGGCTACTCCTGGAGGAAAAGATGAGGCTTTCTCCTCCTGGAAATATCAACAGTCTTGGAAACCCTATGAAAAATCACTATGAGTAAGAACTGACTCAACAGCATTTACCAACAGTAACAGCAATACAACAGACATCAACAATACAATTAAACATTTTGAAATAAAATTACCTATACTTAATGATAATAGTGCTATGAATTGGGATGCTAATCTCATGGTCAACAGCTCGAAACTACCAGCTGTTCTGCGGATAAAAGATGAGGCTTTCTGCTCCCGTAAAGAATTACAGCCTTGGAAACCCTGTATAGTGTTGCTATGAGTTGGCACCAACTCCACGCCACATAACAACAACAACATTCTTAATGATTGAGTCCTGGTATGGTGTTGTGGGTTAATGCACTGGGATGAAAGGTTAGTTTGAACCCAAGTTCAGTGGTTCAAGCTCACCAGCTGCTCCTTGGAAACCCTACACAGGGCTTCTATGAGTCAGAACTGACTCGACAATAACAACAACATACTTAATTATGGAGTCC